CAGAACATTCATCAGATGGTGAAGACTATGTCTGAAGTTGTCAGATCAGAAGAACCCTCAGAAGACGTAGTCTTCAGAACATTCATCACATGGTGAAGACTATGCCTGAAGTTGTCAGATCAGAAGAACCCTCAGAAGACTTTTAGTCTTCAGAACATTCATCACATGGTGAAGACTATGCCTGAAGTTGTCAGATCAGAAGAACCCTCAGAAGACTAGTCTTCAGAACATTCATCAGATGGTGAAGACTATGCCTGAAGTTGTCAGATCAGAAGAACCCAGAAGACCCTCAGAAGATGCGAAGTCTTCAGAACATTCATCAGATGGTGAAGACTATGCCTGAAGTTGTCAGATCAGAAGAATCCTCAGAAGACGAGTCTTCAGAACATTCATCAGATGGTGAAGACTATGCCTGAAGTTGTCAGATCAGAAGAACCCTCAGAAGACGAGTCTTCAGAACATTCATCACATGGTGAAGACTATGCCTGAAGTTGTCAGATCAGAAGAACCCTCAGAAGACGAGTCTTCAGAACATTCATCAGATGGTGAAGACTATGCCTGAAGTTGTCAGATCAGAAGAACCCTCAGAAGACGAGTCTTCAGAACATTCATCAGATGGTGAAGACTATGCCTGAAGTTGTCAGATCAGAAGAACCCTCAGAAGACCTAGTCTTCAGAACATTCATCAGATGGTGAAGACTATGCCTGAAGTTGTCAGATCAGAAGAACCCTCAGAAGACGAGTCTTCAGAACATTCATCAGATGGTGAAGACTATGTCTGAAGTTGTCAGATCAGAAGAACCCTCAGAAGACGAGTCTTCAGAACATACCACACAATCCCCTCCAACAGTCACCCCACTCCGGAGAAGCTCAAGAATAAAGAGGCCCGCCCCTGAGTGTCACTTATGTGACAGTGGGGCATGTAGTGAAAGAGATAATCATTTACCCCAAAAAAAGTTTGTGTTCTGTGTGCGATCTGCCAAAGAAAAATTACAAAAAGTAGTTAGCAAAAATCTACTTCAATGACTAGAATCTATGCTAATGTTCTCCCCTCGCTTGAATGGCGTGATCAATCAGAAAAATCCCTTGATAAACCAAAGTCGTTTTTCACTTATAAAGGCAGAAGATTTTCTGAGCTGGTGATCTGAACACGTGTTATTTGCTCGTGAGAAGTGAAGGTTGGATGTGTGACCCCATTTTGTTGTTTCTACTTTTGCTTGTTGGACTGTTACGTCGGGCTATCGTTTGAACTGCGATTTGGCTACAAGTGTCGCGGTCGAGAAACAGAAGAAATCTATTGCAGTTACTACTATAAGTTGACAGTTTTTTCTTTTCTTTACTACAAGGCCTTTCATTCTTTTTCCTTTCCTTGCTAGGGTTTGTTTTTTTCCTGGTCTTAGGTCCTCTGGCGAGTTATCTGTTGGTCACACCAACATAGGTTTTTCTTTAGTGTGTGTGTAAAGAAAATTCGAAACAAAGTCAAAATAATACCAGTGGAATTGATTCATTCATTTGTTTATTTTGTCTTTGTTTTTTGCAGCCCTTAATGGATCACTTAAAGGTGAATCATATTTTAGATTGTAAGAATAATTTGTTTGTTAGTGAATATGGTGGTAATTTTTAGAGAATAGCAATCATTTTACCAGATACAATTCCTACTATTTAACCCATAGCTAGTGAGGGTTATATCTTTCCCAAGAATCTTCAATGGAGGTTAACGTGTACAAGCAAAACCAGCCATGAGTGTATTTTCAGTGAAGAAAAAGAAAATATAAAAACCTATGAAAACTAAAAATAAAAAGTTGTTAGCATCTTTGCACATACACCATAAAAAAATATTCATTGATATTTATCTGTTCTGTACATGCAGCAGGATTCTTTTAAAACTTATTTGTAGATTTCCCTTGAAGAATCTTTGATATTCAAAAGTAGAATGATTTCAAAGAGTAAAAGGGGAAAAATACTTCCAAATGCAGGAGAAGGCTGAAAGTCGTCTCATAATAATTCTTATATTTGCACCTATATTTCGTACACTAAATTTAACAACTACTATAGGACAACCATTATTATTTGTAAATTATGATTACGAATTACTATCTTATTTTAGGTAGGTAACTTTTTTTGTGATCTGCTTGCAAAACACATGAACACAATGTTTATGGTGAATATTTTTTTTTCCTTTGCTGACAAACAGAAAATAAGATTATCTTTTTGCTACCCCAACAGAATTAACAACACAAATGATGACAGAATAAGTGTATAAATATATTTATCACCCTCACAGTTGGAGCTTTAGTGAATGAATACAAGAATGAGGCAAATAATTTAATTCTTTTGTTTTTGCTTACAAACTGAAAAACAAGATATATAATTTTGCAAATAAATAAAACAAGTCATTATTGAATTTATTACAATCCAAGAAAAATCTTAACTTATGTGAAAATATCTAATGAAATACTGTTAAGATTGTTCTTTTTGATTGGTTTTTTATGGCTTATCAACCCTTTGCAGGTTATTTAAAGTCAGAAATTATTTTCAGATTCTAAAAAAAATTTTTTTGAGATAATAATGATTTAGTGATACAAGTCTTACTAATTAACCCATAGCTGGGTGGGAAAGAAGAGGTGTAGCCATACCTTTTCCAAAGGTATTTGCACATGAGTAAATATAATGAACCCAACTTGAATTATCATTATCTATTACACCACCCCCACACACAAGCTTAGAGCACCTGGTATTCCCAAGCAACCAAATAGTTTTGCTTTTCATTTTTTTTACTTCCTAAAACTCTGATCATTTCTACAGATATTAAAACAAAAATCAGGAATTTCTATAATTATTTGCAGTCTAACATAAATAAATTACAAAAAAAAAAAACAAAAAAAAAAAACAAATTAATCAGCAGACACAAATCATATTTTCATCGCCTAACTTTTAACCATGCAGTTTAGACTCCAAAGGATATGAGGGAATGTGAGTTCAAATCTCACTGAAGTTTATTTTTCATTTTTGATTTGTGCGGCCTGTTTAATGATAGTACAATATAAAATGATCGATGTTGCTAAAAATCAAATCAAAAGAAGAACTACTTAAAAAAGATAATACAGTCTGGCCTGTTTAATCTGGAACTCCATGGCCCAGCAACTCTAATGGCCCAGCACATTTTATCAGTTGACATTAGTCTGTTGAGCAGTTGCAAGAGTATCATCACATGTTTACAACTTTCTGCAGCAGCCAATAACAGCAGATACAAACTTGCTCATTTCTTTTATATACCTGCATATTTATCCATTCTGGATAGTAAATATGTCTTATTTTGGGGGTTTTAGGCATTTTTTATTTTTTTTAGCCTTTATATTATTGCAGGAAACAATAAAAATATTGTTTGCAAGAATTAATGGTCGTTTCGTTTCCTGCCTTAAGCTATCTTCTACCTTTGATAACACACCACTAGATATGTGGAATAAGCTGGACAGTACTTTTACACAGAGTTTGTTTTAGGGGTGATTTCTGTGGTCCAGCAGTGGCCTGATCCCAAGGGGGTGCCAGATTAAAGAGGTTGGACTAATATATATATCATCATCCCCTCAACTTTTGTAATTGTAGGGCGGGATCCAAATGCAGAAGCCATACTAAATCTCTTCCACAACAGTCTATCAACAGCAACCATCAGCAATCCTAGTGTAGTCATCCCTGTCTATTGTTCGACATTGTCCAACCAGTTTTTACATCGACATCCTCTCTTACGTCCACCTTCAATGGTGACTTGCATGATGGTCTTGCACAGGCTGTTGTGCTTTGCAGTGTGTCCAAACCACACCATTTTTGTCCATTTGACAGTGGCGAGAAGAGGTCCCTGGTGGTTCACAAAACTTTTTACTCTATTCTACACAAACTCATTGGTTTTATGTTCCCAATAGAAGATGCCAAAGAGTTTTCTCATGCATTTGTTCTCAAACGCTTGGATCCTTCTCTCTGTTTCTGCCAACAGTGTCCACATTTCATATCCATATAGGAGAATGGAGACTACCAGTGATTTGTAGTGTGTGTGTGTGTGTATATATATATATATATATATATATATATATATATATATTGTTGAGCAGCTACAATGGCAATGTTACAGCAGATACAGTCTTGCTCACTTATATATACACCTGCATATTCAGGATAGTAAGTATATATTTTTGAGTTTTAGTCTTTCTTGGATTTTCTTTTTTTTTATAGTTTTGTATTACATGAAACAATAAAACCTTGTTTCGAAACATTAATGATTGTTTTGTTTCCTGCTTTAAGCTTTGATAACACAAATATATAGCTAAAATTAGCTGACAAGATTATGTTTACATAGGGTTTTTAAATTAAAAAAAAAAAAAAAAAAAGTGTGGTTTCTGTCATCTGGCATTCTCTGTGGTCTGGTTGTACCCAGGTTCCAAGAGTGCCAGATTAAAGAGGGCGGACTTTATTACCCAAATTTATAATGAGATTTAATTCTTATTTATTTATTTAAATGACCCAACTTTCCAGTGAAGAGGCAATCAGGAGCAATCATAAGGGAAGAAGAATATATATATATATATATTTTTTCTTTTTAATGACTGAATTTATTACAGGAAAATATTTCCGATATCCTTTAGAAATTGAACAAGACCCTCTGAGTTTTATCTTGTTCCATCCAAAATACTTTTTCAATGATGGTAAAATTAGATATCAATACATTCCAATGTTCTAGAGAAATAGCATTTGAAGATGTCTTTCAAACAATTAAACCTTTATCCTGACATATATTTACAGCAATCAAAACTAAAATGACCTTCTTACCTTGGACCTCATCAAAGAATTATTCTAAATCAGGCGAAGTCATGACAGTGTAATATGTACAAAAATGTTCCCCACATGTTTCATCCAGATAGAATGGATTAAAAGCTTAATTTATCAATTAGAGTAAGAAATACAAATTGAAAGGTTTATTTAAAAAGAGGAAAAAGGTTGGTTCTTACCTCACATTTGAAGCGAGGTCGGTGCTTAGGTCCGGCAGAGCTGAACTCATAAATTGGAGTAAGTTTCTGTTTACCACACCAAGCATACAAAAATTGCTTGATATCTCCCATGATGACTGAAAAGAAGAAAAAAAAAATTGATTGTTTATGTCTTATCAACCTTTTGCAAGTTATTTAAAATCAGAAAATATTTTAGATTGTAATAATTTTTTGAAACTAACAATTAACTGATGTAAGTCTTACTAATTAACCCATAGCTGTAAGGAGAAAAGGTGGATTCATACCTTTCCCCAAAGGTATTTGTGCATAAGTGAATATTACATATTTAACGAGAATTAGAACTTGGCTCGCCAATTTCCATTTCCAAGCCATTACCGATTACACCACCTACACATCCAAGTTTAAATCACCTGGTATTACCAAGCTGTCGATATTGCTTAACTTCAGTGATTACATGAGAACTGGTATTTCAACATGATATGGCCATAAGCCAAAAAAAAAAAAAAAAAAAAATCACACTAAACAAAACTTCAAAGAGGATATAATTAAATAGAATCATCTTAGGATGTTTAAGGGTATTGGCCTTTTTTTTTTTCTTTCTTTAAGTATTACTTTAATCTTCTTTAGATTCTCTGGATTCACAGTGGGATATTGCAACTAGTATAAATGTGAGATGGATTAAGATGAACTTTACAAAAAGTGAAATATTAGTCATTTAAATTTATAAACAGTAGGGGGCAAATTTTAAAAAAATAGAGTGAGTGAGAATTTTGATGTTGAAAGAATTTGTAGTGCTACTGATTGATGCCATTACTGAAATGCTTAGGACGCAGGAGGGAGAGAGAGAGAGAGAAGACAAGATATCAGTTGATGTATTTGCAACTAATCGGTTTCTTTTTCATATTTTATTTTACAGGAAAAGTATTGATAATAGGTGAATTCCATACAAAAAGTGTCCCATTGAAAGCAGGTCTGGTTTTTGAAATGTGTTTTTGCTCTTTCAGAAACAATCACTGCCAACCAATATCACCTTTTTGTGTCAAGAAGCCTTTCAGCTCAAACACAGTCAAAGCAACAATAAAAAGAAAGAAAGACATTGAAATTATCTTTTATTCAGTAATAGAAAGAAATGACAAGCAGAACTGGGAACAATTTCACTGTTTCTATTTACTTTATGTCCCATTTATTAATTCATTTTACATTTTCTACGTGAACACTTAAAGAAATCATGCATCTGCATCAGGCAGACAGCGGAAATCAAAATTTGTTTGAAAAGGAAACTAGGGAAGGGAAGAGAAATTATAGGATGCATCTTAAAATCTACTACCCACCCAACAACCTCTTATATAAAAATGAAGCTTTTCAATTTTTATATATATATATATATATATATATGGTGCGATGGATAAATTGTTGCTATTTTATATTTTTAATTTTGCACATGTGTGCTGTTTGTTTTTGATTTTGTTGACTGCACAGTATAGTAGGGTACCATATGCGAGAAAAAGAGCACCATGATGCAATTTACTCCGCTGGAAAATTGGAAACACCATGCTGTACTGTTCGACATTTGTGCTCGAAGTTCCAATACAAACATTTCAGAATGTTTGGGTGTCAGCCTGAAGAGAGAGCAGAGAATTTGGAAAGAGTTGGATGAGTCTAATGGTGATTACAAAGGTGTTTGGAGTGATCACTAGTGATTGCAACATTATGCCTCCATTCATCTTCCCACAGAGCCTAAACTCAACATGGAGGCCTACATCAAGTGCCTTGAGGAGGTAGTGCTGCCTTGGGTCAAGAGGGTGGCTGCTCGAAGATACTGTCTGTCAACAGGACTCTGCACCATGCCACACAAGCAGGAGAATCTAGTCATAACTGTCAGACAATTTCTGCAACCACATCACCCCTTACATCTAGCCACCTCACTCCCCAGACTGCAATCCTTGACTATGTGAAAGGTGCAGTTGAGTGAGAGACCACCAAAACTCCTTGTAGCACCAAAGATGAACTGAAGGCAAGGATTATGGCAGCATTCCCCAACCTAAACAAGGAGACAGCACAGAAGAGTTGCAGGAGATTCCAAAGTCATCAGGAGGCTGTGGTTGAAGCCAATAGTGATGTTATTGAATAAATTTACTCTTTAGTATTTCAAGCTATTTTTGTATAATTTTGGTAAATTCTATATCTGTTAAAATGAGATTTGGCCTTATTTTCATTTTTAGTTAATTCGACGACAATTTATCCATCGCATCCTATGTGCATGCATATATTTATTTCAAGCATGTTTGGTTGAATAATCTAGAGACATTAGGTCTATTTTTATTTCAATCCTCTGAAATTCACAGATCGAATTCTAAGTGTTGTTATTAAACAGATTAAGAAAGATGCCATATTTTTCTGATTCCTTTTATTTTCCCAAAGTACTTTCAACCTCATCCAAGATCATCTTCTAAGGTGAATTGATAAAGACAAAAATTAATGAAATGGACAAAGCCTGACAATTATTTTAAGACATTTTTATGTTTATACGTTTTTATAGATACAAATATTTAAGTAAATGCTCTGTTTATAATAAACAGTATTAATAACATTTACCAGCCTGAATGTCTGAGAAATTTTCATAGAAAATATTCGTCCTCTGACAGGAATCGAACATGTATCCTATACGGAATCGTCATATAGCCTGACATGCCTTAACCGATTGATCCACAGAGGATCGTTCAATTAGCAAGGTCGATTTTACTGCTTTTAAACTACAATCTTTCATGAATCTCTCACATATATTCATATCTATAAAAAGAATGTATAAACATAAAAATGTCACAAATTAATGTTACTGAAAGTTGTGAAATTTTTTTTATTTATTTTTTTTTTTCCTCTGTTGTAGTCCATTTAAAAATTAATGTTAATATGTAAGGAAGGTAACTTAAATTGATCTGTGAATTTGAGAGTATTAAAATAGATATAATATAGTAATTTTCTAAACGCTGCTTAGATGTGGCACAAGGCCGGAAGTATGGAGCACCCAGTAAGGATCGAACAAGCTTGCTAACTGTTATACCACACCAAGGTGCCCAAAATAGATATATCAAGCATGTTTGGTTGAATAATCTATTATTCAACCAAACATGCTTGAATGAAGTTATATATATATATATATATATATATATATATAAATAAAAGGAAGTGAGTTGGAAAAAAAGAAAAGAAGAAATAGAAGAAATCTGAACAAAATGAAACATTAGATCTTGTGGTGAGGCTTCTTTGCTGATCAATTTTCAGCACTCTTATTTTTGATAGGTGTTTTTTTTTTTTTTTTTTAAAGTAAATTTAGTCATTTCTTTATGGGAATATTTGTATATAAAGATTTTATATCTAAACTTGTCATATATGCGATTTTTTAGTCATTTTTTTTAACTTATTTCTAACACTACAAGAGATTTTTATATGCAAGGAACTAAGTAGTAGGATTAAAATTTTGGCTAGTGTGCTAGGGAAGAGGAAGACTATCTATTCCTGATAGAATGGGTCACATTGGGTGATGTTTGATGAATTTTAATCAGGAAATGTCTTTATTTTTTTAATAATTTCATGTTTAAATCTTTGTTTCTCTTTCATGACCTTCTGTTCATTTATTTTTTCATAAATATTATCATTTTTGAGAAGGACTTTCATTTTTTTGTTGATATGCATATATATCCACAATTCACCGTTTTTGCCAGAAGGGAATATATGAAGCGCTTTCATATATCTATTAGGAAGTGTAGTAACACCAATTGTTTCAAGTGTGATATTAAACCCTATTACATATACAGATAAGATGATAAAGCATTGGGGGAATTCTTAGTTTCCACCACACCCATCAGCATACTTGACCACAAAGTAGCAGTTTGTATAAGCTGTTCAAATTTCAACTTTTCCATTATTAAAAATATGCAATTGTATTTATAAGACTTGTATTTTATAAACATATTTCCTTGCTAATGCATAGGATTTATGCCAAGTTTGTAAGGAAATGTTATCCTTTCAATCATGTATGATTCTGAATTATTGATCAAATGACAGTACAAAAGCTTGGCAACAATTATTTCACTATAACTCAATTGATTCTATCAAACTAAAACTATACATACATTAAATAATGTGCATAAAACAAAAGAAACAAGGCCTACAATTTGAATTTTTTAACAGAGCAAATGTATTCTTGCTTTTCTCTCTAAAAATTGGAATGGGGCCTAATAAAGAAGACACATGCAGAGGAAAAGTGATGAGAGGTAAAACACACACATATATATATTTGTTAAATATGGCAGCTAAGGAAGATTCAAGAAATTTTTTCTTTTAGTTTTTCCAGGATCATTGTTTTTTTCATTTGGCAGAAGTAAGGGAGTACAAAAATCTTCCTTAATTTCCTTGTACCAAACAAAAACATAAGGATTCTGGAAAAACAAAATAAAAATTTTATCTCTTATCCTCATCAAGTTGAAACAATTGCTTACAAACCAATATTTAGGTAATTTTTCTTATAAAACCAGAGGTAGCTAAATACCAAATTGTGTTAATATGTTAGAACAATAACTTCAAAGTTCACAGAAAGCAAAGGAATGCAAAAACACATTCCTCTATGTAAAATAAAAAGGTTCTGTTCAAAACTTTCTGATAAAACATTCCTGAAGAAGGTCAGAAAACACACTGGCTAAAACATTGTGATGATAAAAACAACAAATATAAGGATATGAGATTGAAGAGAAATCCCAAAAATATTGTGCTCTTCTAATGCACAAACTGAAAAACACAATTCTGCTTGTCCCTCCCTTAGTTAGCATGACCATTATGCCTTGCCAACACCTAAAAAGTAATGGACTATTCCATTTTCATCTTGGAATGATGGAAAAAGACATATCAGAGATGCTACTTGGTTTCAGTGAGAAAATAAAAGAAAGAAAGAAGAGAAGATAGGAGTGTTTAACATGTTTCAGTGAAATGGCAAAAATGTTAATTTCAAATCTTTTCATTTGATTGGTACTTAAAATAATAACCAGCATTCATATTTATGATTATTATTGCAATATTTTGCTAAAATTGTTATGCTTAAATATTTAATGATGCAATATGGGAATTTCTACAGATATTTTATTGTTGTGGAACTCACCATCAGCTTATTCAATCATTAACTTTCATCAGAAAATTAAAATAGGAAAACTGAAATTTTTATGGGTACTGCTACTTAATGTTTAAATCTTTTGATTTTTAACCAAGTTGCACCTGACTTCTGTGCTTTCAGAAGAGGATTGTCAGGGATTAAACAAAGAAATTCCGGGTGAGATTTAGGCAAATAACATTTCAAATATATAATACCGAACAAGAAGGCTTCAGCTAAGAAAATATACTCCACTGATGTAATATTACTTATTAGATAGAGTATACGATCATTTGAAGTTTCAAAGAAAATGGAAACAAAAAGGAAATATCTAATATTAGAAAAAGAGAGTTGAAATTTCTGGGACATATGAAGAAAGGAGACTTAGAGAACCTGACACCCACAGGACACTGAAGGGTAGAGGGAAAACAGTGAGTAAACTACATACAAAGCTTGTGTAAATGGGTGGCAGAAGAGAGACTGGGAGGGACAGTAAAGAAATAAAGCTATAAAGGATAGAGAATTGTGGAAAGCCATGAATGCTCATGTCCTGAAATCATATCACTCATATTGTCAATTATTAATCTTTGACTAGCATTTTCATCTTAACTTCAGTTATCTTATTTTTTTTTCTTTTATCACAGCTATTTGGAGCAAAGAATTTTGCCAACATTAAGCAATCAATTAGAGTTCTATTGAAAAGCAATCAAAATAGAATAATGGAAATACTAGTCAAAACATAATAATGCTTCATCTAATAAATTCAAATACTATTACCAGTGTATATAAACCATGGTGGCATATCAAATATTCCAGGAAAATAATGAAGGCTATGTGTCTAGAGTTCAGCTTCTATATTCAGTTGCTTTTGTTGGCCTAATCTGAAAGACAACTTCTTCAGAGAGGCGGGCAAGCTTCCAAAGAGATAGGAGTTCAAATCTCACAGAATGTTAACTT